AGCCTTGTGTGTGTGTGTGTGTGTGTGTGTGTAAATTTGTTTGACTTTTTAAAAAACAAGGTCTTACTTTGCAGCTTAAGTGGCTTGAAATTAATGGTTCTCCTTCCTCTACCTCTTAAGAGCCAGCAGTACAAACACATACCACTGTACCTGGCACCCTTATTAGTATTTTGAGGTTGGGTTTGCAGCCCAACTATACATTCAAATTCAAGCTCCACCAATTATCAGTAGGGTGACCTGTGGCAAGTTCCTTAAGCTTCCTTGGTCTCAATTGTCCCACCTATAAAATGGAGCTAATGAGAACTTGTCTTATATGCATGCTATGGCCAGAATGGCCACCCATCCTGCCTGTCACTTTTTAAAAATAAAGATTTTTTTAAAATTTATTTATATGTTTGCATGTGTTTGTGTGTGGGGGGGATAAGCTCATGGATGCAGGGGCCTGAGGAGGCCAGCAGAGGGCATCAGACCTCCTGGTGCTGAAGTTATAGGAGATTATAAGGACCCTAATGTGCGTCCTCTAGAAGAGCAATCAGTGCTCTTAACCATGGAGCTATCTCTCGAGCCCTGGACATGGCTTTTATTAAAATGCTAGTTATTTAATGCATGAAATCATAAAAGAATACATTTGAAACTTTGTTTCTTTTTCTTTTCTAAGAAATAGCCATGATGAAGGTCTCCATAACAACCAACTGGCGACTCTGAAGACATGACGTTCAAAGGCCAGGAGTACTCTGCTAGGGCCACCCGTCCGGGATCCAAGTCCCGGCTCTTTCTATATAACAAAGGTGCCAAGCTTGCTGGGGCGGGTCACCAGCCCTCACAATGCCTCTCACAAATGTGTGGAAAACTGAGGGTGATTAAATGCTTGGGTAACAAAGAGAGTGTCTACTCCAAATAGTGACATTGCACAAAACAGCTCTCCCCTGGCCTGACAAGGGAATCTGAGCCTTGCTGGGCTCACTCTGGCACCAACAAAGTGTCTCCAAGCAGAGTTAGCCCTTCCCCCTTCCACAGAAGGCACTGAATAGCTCAGTTGCCAAGAACAGGACAACAGAGAATTCGCTGGAGGGGGCAGAGGCAGGACCTCACTTCTCTTGCAGCCTGGGGGCTGCTAGTCTTTCTGTTTCACCCCCTCTTCTCACCAAGCCCATCCTCGCTAGACAGCAGCTCTTACAACCACTGGTGTGTTTTGACTTCCGCATCCTCTGCTCCTGTCTCCTGTCTTTTTTTTTTTTTTTTTGGATTGTTGTTGTTCCATTTTGTCTTGTAAGCTCCTCCCATGGCACCCAGCGTGCTGTGACCACAGGTCCATCCTACTACATCTGATTTCTCTTTTCTTCTCCTGGCAGCAAAACCTTACCTAAGCTGAAAGTGCTCTGCTGACTATAATACACAGGAACTGGATGCTGGGGAAAGAAGGAAGGACGTACAGCCTCTCCTTCCTCTCCCTCCAGCTCCTCAGCTCTCACAAAGCTTCAGATTCTTCAGAAGACTATGTCGACACTCCTGGGCTAAATGTCCTAAGGCAGAGCAAGGCAGGCACGGGGTCCCTAAGAATCTAAAATGGTGTGAAGCAAAGCTCTTCTGGGGCTCCTTGGCACAGACGCTGGCCAGAGCGTCCAGATGGACAATACCAGGACAGGCTGCCTCCAAGTAGGAATCCTAGCCCACCCTGCGCAGGTTCAGCTGAACTCCTGAGGGTTGCCACCTGCAGATCTCCATCACCACAGCACAGCCGGCACAGGCAGCCTGTACCTGGCTCCGGCTAAGGTGCTGGATCACGGGGATGTTGAATTCAGAGGAGATGGCATTTTCAAGGCTGTGTAGATAATAAAGACCTGTCCTGGGCTAGGATTCTCTTTGAGAAAAATAAATGCTGTCGGCCACCTGCTTCTGTGGCCCCCGAGGATCCAGGATGACTAGTTTATTTTCCATTCAGATGTTCTTTCCCAGACTATAGTTATCTTAAACAAGACAACTAAAACAGCAGGGCATGGAGCTGTTGCCGGAGCAACAGGACAAAGGGCTTCACTCTTTCCTGCAGTATGTGTAATTTGTCAGTCAGCTGGTGGGAAGGGAAGGGAAGGGAAGGGAAGGGAAGGGAAGGGAGGGGAGGGGAGGGGAGGGGAGGGGAGGGGAGGGGAGGAAGAATGGGGAGGGAAGGGAAGAAGAATGGGGAGGGGAAGGGAAGGGAAGAATGGGGAGGGGAAGGGAAGGGAAGAATGGGGAGGGGAAGAGGAAGAGGGGAGGGGAAAAGAGGGGAGGGGAAGGGGAAAGGGAGGGGAGGGAAGGGAAGGGGAAAAAAAGGGAGGGAAGGGGAGAGGAAAAAAAGGGAGGGAAGGGGAGGGGAAGGGAGGGAGGGGAGGGGAAGGGAGGGAAGGGAAGAATGGGGAGGGGAAGGGGAAGAGGGGAGGGGAAAAGAGGGGAGGGGAAGCCGGGCGGTGGTGGCGCACGCCTTTAATCCCAGCACTCGGGAGGCAGAGGCAGGCGGATCTCTGTGAGTTCGAGGCCAGCCTGGTCTACAAGAGCTAGTTCCAGGACAGGAACCAAAAGCTACGGAGAAACCCTGTCTCGAAAAATCAAAAAAAAAAAAAAAAGAGGGGAGGGGAAGGGGAAAGGGAGGGGAGGGAAGGGGAAGGGGAAAAAAGGGGAGGGGAAGGGAAGGAGGGGAGGGGAAGGGAGGGAAGGGAGGGAAGGGAGGGAAGGGAAGGGAAGGGAAGGGAAGGGAAGGGAAGGGCTGTCACTTTGGGCTTGGCAAAGTAAACTGAGATTTTCTTCTAGTTAAAGCAACTCTTTCATCGAGCCAGAGAAAAGCCATGGCCCGCGTGGTTAAAATATCAGAAATAGGGCTATGTTCAGTAGGGATAGGGGCTTGCTGCCAAGCCTGATGATCCGAGTTCAATCCCCGGGAAACATGAAGATGTTAAAATGAGAACTAACTTTTGTGAGTGGTCCTGACTCTGATGTACTCACAATGGTAACATCATGCCCACACACAGACACCAAGGAAACAATAAACATAATAAAAAATTAAAGGAATACGCAGAAACATCTAGCTGGGAACACCAAGGAAAACAACTTCCTTTTCTATTCTCTCTGCAGAAAGATAAAGGACTCACTAAAGTCATAAAATGTTCGCATCTGCTGGATGGTGGTGGTGGCGCACGCCTTTAAATCCCAGCACTCAAGGAGGCAGAAGCAGTCCAATCTCTGTGAGTTCAAGGCCAGCCTGGTCTACAGAGTTAGTTCCAGGAAAGACCCCAAAGCTACAAAGAAATCCTGTCTCGAAAAAACAAGACAAAAAACCCACAAAAACAAAAATTTAAAAAAAAGGGGGTTGCATCTAAGTTGTTTATAGACCTGGAGCTTCAAGTAAGTTAAGGGGAAGGACTAAGACAAATGGCAAGAGATTAAAGAAAGCAGCCAAACATTTGAGAACATTTAGACACACGTAATAGTGGGACTTCTTAGCATGCCAACTTCTCTCATAAACCACAACATGTCATGGTAGCATCCGCCTGTACTGTAACAACAGAGCCAGGGGGCCCACACAGACCAAGTTCAATCACTGGAAATTTTGGTAGAAATGCCAAAGCCCACAGAAATCAGCCGGCTGGGGAGGGGCAGGTCTAAGTCCACAGCCCATTTCCGGCTGCCCCAGTCTTCCCACTTCTCTGGGGTTTCTGTGTGCTCTGCTCTCTAAGGACATATAACTGAGCTCAGCTTCCAAATGGGCCCTGGGCACCTAGCTCCACTCTCCACAGAATGACTGTGCATATATGTGTGGTTCTGTGCACACGAGTGCAGGTGCCTGAGGAATCCAGAGATGTCAGATCTCCCTAGAGTTGGAGGTACAGGTGGTTGTGAGCAGCCCAAGATGGGCGCTGAGAAGCAAACACAGGTTCTCTCAGTAAGAGCACTGTGTGCTCTTAGCTACTGAGCCATTTTTCCAGCTCCGGGGAGTTCTAGTTTTACACAGTATTTTTTTTTTTTTTTTTTTGGTTTTTCGAGACAGGGTTTCTCTGTGGCTTTGGAGCCTGTCCTGGAACTAGCTCTGTAGACCAGGCTGGTCTCGAACTCACAGAGATCCACCTGCCTCTGCCTCCTGAGTGCTGGGATTAAAGGCGTGCGCCACCATCGCCCGGCTTACACAGTATTTTCTTAAATCCTTATGTAAATAGTGTCTTTACTGAACTTAAAAACACAATGCCTCTTTGCTCACACAAGGAGACACACTAAAACACAAGAGGTAGTCTATGCTTAGGGCAGCTGTTCTTAACCTGTGGGTGAGACCCCCTTCGGGGGCCACATATCAGATAGCCTGTATATCAGATATTTACATTACGATTCATAACAGTAGCAAAATTACAGTTATGAAGTAGAAATGACATAACCTTGTGGTTGGGGGGGGGGTCACCACAACGTGAGGCACTGTATTAAAGGGCCACAGCCTTAGGAAGGTTGAGAACCACTGGCTTAGAATCAGAAGTCAAGTGATGACAGAACTGCCCTGTAGTGAGCTGCGTGGAATCACAACTGATGGAGATGTATAATCAACTCCTATGGCTAAATTTAGTCTGACCTATGCTATGATCACGCAATGATTATCAGCTGCCTGCATATGTGTGAACCTACGGGCAGTGCCCACCTGGCAGTTCGGGGTTGGCAGCCCATGCCTACTTAAGGGCTGAGAGAGATTTGCCCGAGGAGAGAGGTCAAGGAAAGAGGAGAAAGAGAGAGGAGAGAGGTCAAGGAGAGAGAAAGAGAGAGGAAAAAGGGAGAGAGGAGAGAGGTCAACGGAGAGAGAGGGGAGGAGAGAGAAAAGAGAGAGAGGAAGAGAGAGAGGGGAAGAGAGAGAGAAGTGTAAAAAGTCCTGAAATAAACTGCAGTGAGAAGAGCTCCGGTGGTCGAGTCATCCTTGCGGGTCGAGGGTGGCCGTGACACTGCCCGACCTAGAGGTTCTAACCTATGCCACCCACCGCGCCCCTACCCCTTACCGAGTTGGTGCCGAGGATCTGCAGGTTGGGTTTCTCCGACTCCAGCAGCTTGGCCACCATCTTCAGGAAGCTTTCCACGAAGAGATTGATGCTCTGGCAGTGGCAGGCCATGAGCAGCTGGTCCAGCGCCTCCATGGCGATACACACGTACCTGAGGATGGAGGCATAATAGCTTACTTGGTCTTGTTCTCTCCGACCACCACACCTGGCTAGGGCTGTATCAGAGGAAGAAGATGCCTCCCTCCGTGGGCTGCCAGTGTCTGTGCCGTGTTTCTAACAAGTGTTCACTCCAGACCAGAACTGAGAATCAGGATGACACAGAGCTGTGAGGGGGACTTAAAAATGTTGAGGTGCTGGGCCCGGGCGGCACACACCTTTAAACCCAGCACTGAGGAGGCAGAGGCAGACGGGTCTCTGTGAGTTTGAGAACAGCCTGGTCTACAGAGTGAGTTCCAGGACAGCCAGGACTACACAGAAAAACCCTGTTTCGGAACAAAAAGAAACAAGTTAAGGTTCCCCAGTCAAGCTCATGTGCTACCTATACAACAATGAATGAGCCCCAAAGATCAGCTCTTTCTCATCCATTCAGATCAAGTCCATCTTTGAACATGAGGTGGATATCTATAAACTCTTGATTTTCTTCGGTCTTAAAAAAAGTTTGGGTCTATTAGGAGGGATTACCTGACCTCATCAGGCCCTAACGGTACTTCTGTGGCAGCCATCCAACTGCAGAAACTGAGTAGTAAACACATGTAGTAAAAACATGGCCTGAGCCACGGCAACTCTGTACATCCACACAAAGTAGCAAAATCCATGGTGTCTTCTAAACTTGTTTTTAACAATTTTTTTTCCTGAGACAGAGTTTCTCTGTAGCTTTGGAGACAGTTTTTATTTTTAAAGATTTATTTATTTTCTGCATACGAGTGCTTTGCCTGCATGCATGTCTGTGTACCGTGTGTGTGTCTGGTGCCTGTAGAGGCCCAGAAGAAGGCGTTGGATCCCTGGGAACCGCAATTACAAATGTTTGCGAGCAGCTCTGTGGGTGCTGGACATCAAACCCGGGCCCTCTGGAAGAGCATCCAGTGCTCTTAGCTACTGAACCCTTTCTCCAGACCCTAAATCTGGTTTTAAAAACAGCCATTGGACACCGATGCTTAAAACATCCTTGCACTAACTTCGGTACAAAATGGTCATTAAAAAAAAGCCTCTGTACTTCAAGTTTTTTTCTACTTTTATAAAATTTATGTCTGTAATCTCTATGAGCTAAGCCAGATACTAAATCCTTTAATATTACTAAATTCAATTATTAAGGATTATGGAAGTCATCTCTGGGCATTCTAAAAGATGGATCATGTCATCCTTTTATCTATAAAGTCCGTATTTTTTTTTTTCTTGAGGGGCCAGAGTGGAACCCAGGCTTTGCACATCCTTGTTAAACACACTGTCCCTGAGCGACAGCCCCAGCTCTCGGTGGTGGCTTCGGAACATAAAGGCAGCATTGCCTCTCAGAACTCATTTGGTGAATGGGAGCCCTGGGTCGGCATTCCTCCTACCCAGGACAGACGTGCCTCACGCTCCATAACCTTGACTTCCATAGACTGGCATAGTCACAGCCAAGATGCCTCCGGCAGCCCTGGCATTTCAGAGACTTCAAGTCACCCAAGCTGGAAAAGAAAACTGGCTGGGACCCCTGCCAGATGGGACAGGCCAGGGAGGGCAGGCCCAAGGGGGTTGGGGGGGGGGCTTCCCTGTAGGACACGTGGACATGGTCAAGTCACCAAGCGTGGTTAGAAAATAACGGTAGGCAAAGAGAATTTCACCCTTTTTTGTGGGTCATACCAGCATTTTTCTACTGACATTTTACTTTTCCTGGAGTTTAAATGAAATTAATAAAGGAAGGGGTGGGATGGGAGGCAAGAGAAGAAACTAGAAGGCCTCCCAAATCCTAGATCATTATTGTTCTTTCAGGGTGTGTGTGTGTGTGTGTGTGTGGAGTCTAGAATAATCTGATAAGAAAAAAATAGATAAATAAAAAAGAAAGAAAACCTCTTCTTTCTTAGAAAAAACAAACAAAGTTGGCATTGACCAACACTAGAGATTCTGGTATAAAGTGAAAATCACGGTAGAACTGAGATAGAAATGAAAAGAAATAAAGAATATAGGGCTTCGTTCCCTGAACATGCTGCCCTTGATGCTCCATTTCTTTTTTCTTTTTTTTAAAGATTTATTTATTTATTATGTATACAATACAGTGTTCTGCCTCCATGTGTGCCTATACACCAAACGGGGGCACCAGATGTCATTATGGATGGTTGTGAGCCACCATGTGGTTGCTGGGAATTGAACTCAGAACCTCTGAAAGAGCAGCCAGTGCTCTTAACCTCTGAGCCATCTCCCCAGCCCCCAACGCTCCATTTCTGACCCCAGTGCTTAGAACAACACGTTTTTAACTATGGACTTGAATTTGGACTCCTTAATGATGACCTCAGTGTTTGTCCTATTTTATCGCCACCTTCGCGCGTGTGCCCTGCGTGTCAGACCTACGCTCTCAGGACAGAGGATGGGACTTTTGGGGGTACTGTCCACCAACAGGATTCCCAGGACAAGTTACCATCGTCAGAGATCTGGTGCTCTTTAATGTTTTTGAGTCTAGACTGGCCTGTGTGGGTACTTGGAGCAATGGGCTAGGGTGGAGCCGGGCCGTGGGGGAGGTATAGGCTACTGCAGCAAACATCAGCGCCAAGTATACCGCGGGGGCTCCCCACGTGCACAATGAAGAGGACAGGACACAAACGACCTGGACCAGACTAGAAATCTCAGGCAGCCAGGGGAGGACGCTGGGCAGGTAACAACTGGAAGAACCCAAGCTCAGAGACCAACACAGGAGGTGAATGACAACCACAGAGAAAAATAGCTAGGGTGCCTGGTGCCTACGAACCAGATGAGAAGTCTCTCTGTGAGTTCCGAGGGAGGCTGGTTCTGCTCGGGCACCTTGTTCCAGGTCAGAAGTAGCCAGGGAACTCAGGGAAAGGTCTGTAGCGCAAGGGGAAGTGTGGGCAGAGGAGGCTGGGAGCTCCACCCAGTTGGATAGACAAGATGGACCTGGAGTCAGAGACCCTTATTCCAGGCATTCTGTTTATATTTAGTCAGCCCATTTCTCAATTGAACTTTCTGAGACTTTTTTTGTTTGTTTGTTTGTTTTGTTTTGTTTCTGAGACAGAGTATCTTTGTAGCTTTGGAACCTGTCCTGGAACTTGCTCTGTAGACCAGGCTGGCTTAGAACTCACAGAGATCCGCCTGCCTCTGCCTCCTGAATGCTGGGATTAAAGGCATGCACCACCACCGCCCAGCACCTTCTGAGTCCTTTAGAAGGCCAGGAGCAGAGCGATAGTTTGGGCCCCAGATGAGGAAGAGCGGGCCCAGCCTCTTCACCTAGCAGAGTCTGCAGTGCTAACTGCGGGGTTAGCCCACTCTTCCACCAACTTCAGATCCTTCTAGAAAACAATGCTGGGCCAGGGTCCTGAGGCTGCAGCAGCTCCACCTCAGTCTCCATGCTCAGTGCTCAGTGTTGGGCTGGGGCAGAACTCCAGACACTGTCTGATATTACATGCTGCACACTGCGGTCCATGCTGGTGCCCTTGGTGGACCTGTCTCACTCAGAACTGTCCTTCCCTCCCCCTGTCCCCCTGTTTCTAGGGACGCTGAGGTGATCCGGAAAGAGAATGAGTGGAAGGAGAGAAGCATAGGAACGCTGGCCTTTTGCTCCTCTGCCTATCACCACCCTTTATACCAAACATCTTGAAATTCCGCCATCCTCTCTGCGCTCACAGCTGACATCTTTCTGGGGCCAGACACTCATGAATCAGGACCCCGTACCCAATGACAGGGTGACAGTGCAGGAAGGCAGTGGTCATGAGCAGGTGGTTCTGGGGCTCACGGGGACCCACATCCAAGGTTCACATTGATAGGACCAAACCGTAAACAGACACCCTTATGCTAGGAAGACACACATCCGCTCACTGTCTGATGTGAAAATGTTGCTCTTCCAAGGCCTCCACCCATGACAAGGACGAGACCAGGGGCTTGGGCAGGGAGCTACAGGAGGGCCAGGAGAAAGGATTCTAACAGACATTTTCCCAAATGTTTATGATCAAAGTCTTCCTTCAGGCTTTAAATACCTAGACGCCGCAAGGCTATTTTTAACAGGATGATGCCAATTTTGAATTGTAATTCCGCAAGCAGAGGAAGGATTCGAAGAGGCTCTGTCAGCTATGGACATTTTTAATCACAAGAAACATCACTGCAGAGAGCCCAAGTCCGCAGGGCAGAATTGGTGTTAAATGTTTAATGCTATTACTGGCACATTAGCTCTTGGTTCAGTCTAAGGTAGAGCCATTTTCGCTTGCTTGGATGTGCTGTCCAGTACGTCAGAGCTCTTTATACAATCAGCATGCAAAGCATGCACGCCCCTCCTCTTATAAAGTGGCAACCTTCTTCTATCATATAGAGAATGATCACGGAAACATTAGTTCTCATTCTGTTTTCACATAAAGGGTAGCCTGGTTTAATTTGCCAGAGTGGGAAGTAGAAAAAGACAAGGTCTCCTGAGTAAATTGGGAACATAGGAACCTTGGGAGAGGGTTGAAGGGGAGGGGAGAAGCAGGGGAGCAGAGAAAAACGTAGAGCTCAATAAAAATCAATTAAAAAAAAAAAGATTTGCCAGAGCTAGGGCAGAGCATATCCTTAGTACACACAAAACCTTTTCCTAAGCCCAGCATTTACCAATGATCCTTGGTTTCTCAACCTGAGGACGGTTCAACCAGCATGTGTGGTACTGGTTATGTAATAAGGTGTGGAGGGCATGGCTGGGAGGTGGAAGACCCTAGAAGTTGAGAAGCCTGGAGTTGATTTTTTGTTTGTTTGTTTGTTTTTCAGGACAGGGTTTCACTACGTAGTCCTGGCTGTCCTGGAACTCATTCTTTAGACCAGGCTGACCTCCAACTCACAAAGATCCACCAGATTCTGCCTCTCGGGTGCTGGGATTAGAGGTGTGAGCCGCCACTGCCCAGCTGTGGAGTTGATTCTAAAGACTGATGATCTTAGTCTTTGAGTTGAAGAGCATGTCTAACTCTTAAATGTCATATAATTATGACAATTAATATCTATTGGCCTGGGAAGACCAAACAGGAAGACTGAGAGAGGGAGACAAATCCCCTATTGTAATTTGAGCTAACAGATTCAAAGCCTGAACCAAGAAAAAGGCAGGAGCAGGCTGAAGATATAGTTCCATTGTCCTAGCATGTATGAAGCCCCGGGTTTGGTGTCCAGAACCACAATAACCCGGTATGGTGGGGCATGTCTACGACCCCAGCACTGGAGAGGTGAAGGCAGGAGGGTTAGAAGTTCAAGCTCATCCTTAGCTATACTGAGTTCAAAGCCAGCCTTGGATACATGAGACCCTGTCTCCCTTCATCATCCCCATCATTTCTTGCCCCCCACACAAAATAAGGAAAAACAAAACAACCTTAGGATCAGAAGGAAGTGGAGAATGGAGAGAAAGACTCGGGCAGAGTTAGATCCACAGGAATCATGGCTACCCATCACGTACTCAACCCTCTGCACCATGAGTAACACTACCAAGGCTTCTCGGGGTGAACTGTTTGGCTGTGGATTGTGTCACGATGGTAGGGCAGCAGCAAGTACAATTGTGCTGTGGTCCACTCTGGAAGTAATGCATGCTCAGGTGTTTAGGGAACAGAGAGAACACCAAGTCCTCGAGCTGTGCCATTCCCAGGGTGAATGCTCTGGATACGTGGCATTTGGACTTGATTTTTTAGCCACTGAGGTTTGTTGATATTTTTTTTAACTTGACCCTAAATACTATGTTTGTGGCCATTATAACCTAAGTTTTCGTATTTTTAATATCATTAGATAGTGATCTTTATAAACACTATTTTTATTATCTAGATATATTATCTATCTATCTATCTATCTATCTATCTATCTATCTATCTATCTATCTATCTATTATAGTATCTTATCAAATGATACGAACCATAACTTACTAGCTTTTCTTTTGCCAGACACTTTGGCCATTTCTAGGGTTTTATCATTCTAAGAGACACTGTGGCCTGGGCGTGGCACCCCACTTTGTATTCCAGTGCTATGAAGAGGAGACCACAGGCCATCCTCAGCCACACAGCCAGGTGGAAGGCAGCCTGGGCAACCTGAGATTCTGCTGGTTGAGTTTTGGTTTTTTGAGGTGGACAGAAAACGCTGCAAAAAACATCTTCTTGTAAAAGGCAGAGGCATTGAGATGGTTTCCTTGGGAAGCAATGGGCAGGAAAGGACACATATTTCATGACCTAGAAAATTTCAGCCAATTTGTTCCCTTTCCAGGAAGGTGTAAAAATGCCTTTTTACTTTTATAAAAATGTGATAAGATGACCCAGTAGTTTGGGCATGGACTGTGAGTCTGAACATTATCAGATGACGCTGCTCTCTGAGTGGACCCTTTGCAATCTTATCTTTTCCCCGGCCATCCTTCTCCTGACTCCCCAGGACTATTTGTTTGATGGTACTAACATGCGACCTGAATCCTTTGTCTTATTTGTTGTTAATATATATCTTTTGTGTTCAGTTTTAAAAATCTGAAGGTTTCAGCTAAGTAGTGGTGGCGCACACCTTTGATTCCAGCACTCAGGAGGTAGAGGCAGGCAGATCTCTATGAGTTCAAGGCCAGCCTGGTCTACAAAGCAAGTTTCAGGACAGCCAGGGCTACACAGAAAAACTCTGTCTTGATAATCTAAAAACAAAACAAATTAAAAAAATCCAGGACAGGCTCCAAAACCACAGAGAAACCTTGTCTCGAAAAAAACCAAAAAAAAAAAAAAAATCAGCATCAAGATTTAAACAGCTAAATGTATTGATCACTTTAAGATTTCTTCTCTCTTTTAAACACACAAAGTCCTTTGCTCTCAGACAATAATAAATATTTCACTAAAGTATATTTTTGTCTTGTTTTGAGACGCAGCTCACACTTCTGAGGCTAGCCTTGCTCCGTTGCCTCCTGGGTGCTAGGATCACAGACGTGCTCCAGGGGGACTGGTTTATGCGACACTAGAGATTGAAGTCAAGGTTTCTAGTCTGCCAGACACCCGAGCAGCTAAGCTCCATTCCACCTTTCTCTACAGTGTGTTTTTTATTTTATTTTATTTTTTTTCATAGCAAACAAGCTTTTTTATATTTATTTATTTGTTATGTATACAATATTCTGTCTGTGTGTATGTCTGCAGGTCAGAAGAGGGCACCAGACCTCATTACAGATGGTTGTGAGCCACCATGTGGTTGCCGGGAATTGAACTCAGGACCTTTGGAAGAGCAGGCAGTGCTCTTAACCTCTGAGCCATCTCTCCAGCCCCGGTGTGTTTTTTAGTGAACAAACCACCCCCACCTTTCTTCTCAGCACACAGTTGGCTCCACCTCACTTTCTCAGACCTTGAGGGGAGCTGGGCTGGGGAGAATAAACACACGCGAGGCAGACCGACTGTGTGAGTTCTATGGGGACACGCAATGACTTGACGGATGCCAAACGGCTACTCCTCTAGAGCCACCAAGCCCTCTTCCCAAAAGTCCAGACTCATCCAAGGTCACCTGCCTCAGGGGAACATGTAAACCCACCCTCCTTGGTTTCGGGTTTTGTCTTTCCCAGTCTATCCAATAACTCAGCCCGTAGCTTTTTTCTTGAAATGTTATTACACTATCTTACCCTAAAAATATAATGCAATTTCTGAAAATCCATCTTGTTCCCCCTCACATGCCTTACCCATAGCGATGGCGCCCCACGTCTCGGATGAGCCTCTCGGAGAGGTAGGCACCGATGCGATCCAGCTTCTCTGGAGCTGAGAGGGCATAGAAGGTCAGCTTCTCCATGTTGGTTTTCACCAGACCATCCTGTAGAAGACAGACAGCTCGACATCACTACGGCCCCGGTATGGCGGGAAGGCGCAAGTCTGGAGCAAATATCAGTTCAACTAAGCTGATGTTTACAGGGTGTCTCTTATACAGGTGCTGGGCATCAGGCTCACTGAAAGGATGAAAACGGCACTTCCGTCCTCCAAGCATGGGGCTGGGGAGAACCTCCTAGCGTAGAGCTTGCTGTGTGAACGAGGGTCTGAATTCAGGTTCCCCAGAACCATAAAAAAAAAAACCTCACACAGTTCTTGTAAGCTAAAAGTTTCCTGGGATCTGAGTGGTCATGGGAACATGGAGCTCCCTGAGGCTCTCTGCTCCTAGCTCTCTGCTCCTAGTTTAACCACAACAGCAAGCTCTAGGTTCAGTGAGAGACTGGTCTCAAAAAAGCGTGGTGGAGTGTGATAAAGGTACACGATGGCAATCTCTGGCCTCCACATACGCGTGCACAGACAAGTGTACCTGCACACATATGCACACACACATGTACCGCATACACACAAATATCAACAGAAGGTGGTCTATGTGTATATACGTGTGCGTGCAGAGACACATATTGGTATGGGTGAAGGATGTGGCATCACTAAAAGTAACTCAGAATTAAGGTGTCACCACCAAGACATAAAGAAGGCAATTTTGCAGCTCCTAAGGAATTCTCCAGAGGATAATGGAAATGGGAACCTCTGGCTGCCCATCCGGAGGAGGCCAGGAGTTCTCAAGTATCAAGGCAAATGCATCAACTCTTGACATCCTCAGACCACAATGCATAACACAGGGTGACACACAGAGTGACAGCTTGGAAGCCACACAGCCAGGCCTCCTGTGCAATGCACAGCCAGACACCTGACAGATGCCAGAGGGAGCCGGGGAGAGACACGGGCTCCCGAGGCAAACGCGAGACAGGGCACGTCTTCACTAAACGACGGGAAAACATTTCCATCAGGAGAGTGAGCAATTGAGACAGGAGTGAGAAAGATGTGCCAACCATACAGCAACAGCCTGACACATCCCTACCAGCCTTCTGCACAGCCAGCCTTTAGAAGAGCCAGATGTCCTCATTCTCCATGGGACAAAGGCCTTCCCCAGTTAACAGCCCACCCAGCCCTTCCTGTGACCCACCTCAGGATCTTCCGGGAAGATATTGTCCACCAGCCTCTTGTACCTGGGACGAAGGGCGCCGCAGCAGCCACACACACCTGGGATGGGGAAACAAAAGCAAAACCAAACCTAGGAATGAAGCCTTCTCATGAGGCTGCAGAGACCGGGAACCCAGGACCTCTGAGTAAAGAAACCAGGGCTGAAGGGCCAATGGCCTTGTTCTTCCCAGAGCGGAGGTCTCCCACTGATTCCCACACGCCAAGACATTGGTCTTTTGTTTGTCTTCAGTTTAGGGACTGGGCAGAGTGGGGTGTTTAGGGTAGAAAACCAGAGCTCAGAAGAACACTTGGAGGGTGAGACCTCACGAGTGGGTGGGAACATATGTGAAAGCCGGGTGCTGCCATGCCACCACCCTACCATTTATACACACCTACACATATGCCACCACCATTTACACACACGCGCACACACACCTACACATATGCCACCACCATTTACACACACGCGCACACACACCTACACATATGCCACCACCATTTACACACACACGCACACACACCTACACATATGCCACCACCATTTACACACACACGCACACACACCTACACATATGCCACCACCATTTACACACACGCGCACACACACCTACACATATGCCACCACCATTTACACACACGCGCACACACACCTACACATATGCCACCACCATTTACACACACACGCACACACACCTACACATATGCCACCACCATTTACACACACACGCACACACACCTACACATATGCCACCACCATTTACACACACACGCGCACACACATACACATATGCCACCACCCTACCATTTATACACACCTACACATATGCCACCACCATTTACACACACGCGCACACACACCTACACATATGCCACCACCATTTACACACACGCGCACACACACCTACACATATGCCACCACCATTTACACACACACGCACACACACCTACACATATGCCACCACCCTACCATTTACACACACCTACACATATGCCACCACCATTTACACACACACGCGCACACACATACACATATGCCACCACCATTTACACACACACGCACACACACCTACACATATGCCACCACCATTTACACACACACGCACACACACCTACACATATGCCACCACCATTTACACACACACGCGCACACACATACACATATGCCACCACCATTTACACACACACGCACACACACCTACACATATGCCACCACCATTTACACACACACGCGCACACACATACACATATGCCACCACCATTTACACACACACGCACACACACCTACACATATGCCACCACCATTTACACACACACGCACACACACCTACACATATGCCACCACCATTTACACACACGCGCACACACACATACACATATGCCACCACCATTTACACACACACGCACACACACCTACACATATGCCACCACCATTTACACACACACGCACACACACCTACACATATGCCACCACCATTTACACACACACGCACACACACCTACACATATGCCACCACCATTTACACACACACGCGCACACACATACACATATGCCACCACCCTACCATTTATACACACCTACACATATGCCACCACCATTTACACACACGCGCACACACACCTACACATATGCCACCACCATTTACACACACGCGCACACACACCTACACATATGCCACCACCATTTACACACACACGCACACACACCTACACATATGCCACCACCCTACCATTTACACACACCTACACATATGCCACCACCATTTACACACACGCGCACACACATACACATATGCCACCACCATTTACACACACACGCACACACACCTACACATATGCCACCACCATTTACACACACACGCACACACACCTACACATATGCCACCACCATTTACACACACACGCGCACACACATACACATATGCCACCACCATTTACACACACACGCACACACACCTACACATATGCCACCACCATTTACACACACACGCACACACACCTACACATATGCCACCACCATTTACACACACGCGCACACACACATACACATATGCCACCACCATTTACACACACACGCACACACACCTACACATATGCCACCACCATTTACACACACACGCACACACATACACATATGCCACCACCCTACCATTTACACACACCTACACATATGCCACCACCATTTACACACACACGCACACATATGCCACCACCCTACCATTTACACACACACGCACGCATGTGCACGCACGTACAACACACACACACACATATACACACATGCACGCACACATACACACACACACACCATGAATTTCTGGGATCAGACTATAAAATCTACCCCTGCAGCCCATGAGTGTCCTGGGAAGATGAAGGCCACGTGGGGGTGACTGCTCCTCCTGCCCTCACTGGCTCCCAAATCTCTATTTCCTGAGCCTCATTCTCCTCCAGGGTCCGTTCCTGTACCACTCCCTCTGCAGAATAGTCGTGACATGATGATAAATGGACAGGATTATTAACTACCGACAGACAGGAATTTCTAAGGCTTTTGTCTGTGGTGTTTGAAAGTGCACAGAAGAGCTGGTCTTGTTCTCCATGCCCCAGCCCTTCCCTGGTCCCCTGGCCAAATGGAAAAACTAAGAACAATGTGGCAGGCTTTACAAAGTGAAGTTTATTCCACCGAGAAGCCCCAGATGACCCTGTTCAGGATCTTTCATGCTGGGAAAGCAAAAGGTGTCCAGAAATCAAGAATAAAACAACTTAATGGATCAAGGAAATGGAAACATCTAGAAACTGTCCTCTTTAGCTTTCTTCCAGGCAGGACCATCGTCTGCTGTGTCCCAGATCCTTTGTGCCGAGAGTTGGGGGTAGGTAGAAAGTGGAGGGGTAGAGGTATCATAGAAGAGCCCATGGGGGCTTGGCAAAGTCCGTCCTGTGAAGAAAATTAGTGCCCCCGCCACCTGCCAATTACAGACGAGCTGTGTTTGCACACGCCTTCTACTTGAGACGCAGATGTTTGCTGGGAAGATTAGGGGTCACTGAGAGAAGAATGAATTGCTGTAGCGGGAATTCCTCCGCCACACAAAGCAACCCGCATGGGCCAGTGGGAGAAGCAGTGAGGGAGCTCTGGCTGTGAAGTCTGGTTGGCATCCAGCCAGGAGGAGAAGACAGCCATGGTATGGGCTTCAGACTTCATGATTTGGGTTCGTGGGGATGGACGTGAACTTGAAGAAGTACAAGGCAGTAAGGGGCAGGGTGGCAGGGAACCGGTGTGTGAGTCCCACCCATGTCCCACAAGGAAGCCTTGTGGCCTCAGCCCCCACTACCCCAGACTCTTCTGGCTTCTCCTCTTTGCTCCTTCTTAGGCGAAAGCATTTAGGGCCATGTCCTGTTGGCACCCAGGATTATTTATGACGGGACATCTCCTAAGGGGATACATTTCCTCTCAGGGTCTCAAAGCCCAGGGTTTAAAGCCTGTAGGCTATACTGTCGTCTGTCTGGCCCAGCTTTCTGGACACTTTCTCCAAGTGTCCATCTAGAACATATGGCAACTTGTTAAATCTCTAGAACAACTCCATGGGGTGAATGTGCCTTATATTTATCCCTGCTTTACAAATAAGTAAACTGAGTCATGAAGAGGTTAAATGACCTGCCTGGAGCTGCACTGCGGTAATACATGGCCAACCAGGATTTAGTCCCCCCAAATCTAACTTCAGAGACCAAGCACATAACCACTGTACTGGGGCTGAGTGGGTTACATAGTTAGCAAGCTAGGAAAACTCAAAGCTCTAGTGCAAGGGAGGATGCGAAGAGATAGGACCGAAGGCAGGAGAGTGCACATGAGCATGGGATGCCCGGGATGCCACATTCCCACCCATGGCTAGGCAATACTGATGCTCCAGTTACTGGCGTCTCTTGGAGTCTGCAAAGCAGCACAGCGTGGTGGCTAAGTAATTTAGGCTCAAGAGTCAGAGAGGCCTGGGTTGAACTGGGCCCCAGTTCTTCTGGTTACTTACTGTATGACCTTGAGTAAGTAATTCAACCCAGATCCACAATTCCTCATAGATACATGGTAATGTTCCCACTTAGGGGACCTAAGAGACACTGCATCTTTCTTTTTTTTTTTTTTCAACATCGTAGAAGAAAAGACAAGACACAAAGACCAGGCAGGACCAGGCTGAGGACGGCTGTGCACAGCTAACAGCTTTGAGACACTCAGGATGGCACAGGGATGTCTGCCAGGGAGCTGTGTGGATGGGCCACCCAAGACTGCGGACCAAGGTCAGACAGAGCTGAGTGACTTGTCAAGACAGGACAAGGGAGGGCTGAGCCCAGCAAGAAGAGAGTACCTCCTAGAAGGAAGAGGGTAAGGAAAGACTGTGGGGTTCGCGTGTACAGACAAGAAACCCAGAGCACAGGCTAGGACTGAAGTCCGGGGGTCATCTGCCTGTGTGGAGTCATTGAAGCTGCACGGTGACACACGGGGACACCACAGGAGATGGGTGGGGTGGGAGAAAGAACTGCTGGGGGCGGGTGGGGATGGAGAAAAGACGCACAGAGCCTGTGATCCCCACCAGTCTTCCAGAAAGCATGTCACCTTCATTCCCTCGTTATGTCTCTGCCTCTTTCTTAGGGTCCTCCAAACCCAGACGCTGGAGCCTTCGGGTGGCTAACACTGGTCTCCGATCGATCTTATGAACAGCCCCTGAACACTAAATTCCCATCTCGGAGATCTAATTAACCAATTCACAAGCTGCTGGTGTCCGAGAAGCAGTCTTTTTAGAACGTACATGTTTTTGGTTTGGTTTTGTTTTAAAGCCCGACAGGCAAAGGGAATAATCCCTCACTGTAGACCCTCCTAGACATTTGGGTGTTGGGGTGTTTATGAGAAAACTGGTTCACAGGTGTCTGAACCCTGTTGGGTGCTGGAGTTTTGTTTGTTTTCCAACCTTTACAGGGTTTAAAATAAGGTAGAGATATGAAATGAACACCCTGGTGTAAGAGGGAGGAAAAGCTCAGAAACAAAACAGTAGTTTTGTCAGTTATAAGTAGTTTACCAAGCC